CCAGTATTTTATATTTTGAAACAGGGTCTCAATAAATTGCTTATGGCCTGCTAAATTGCTAAACTTGCAATCCTCCTGCCTCAGCCTTCCAAGTCCTTGGGATTATAGGCGGAAGCCACTCTAATAAATATTTCTTGATCACCTGTCATGCGCACAAAGTAACTGGGAGAGACATGGCGGGGGAGGTGGGGAGTGAATAAAACAGACCCAAGGGAAAACTCAAATGCAAATTTAAAAATACAACTACCAGTGCCACGAAGAAAACCATGAGTTCAAGAATGCCATTACCCTGTTTTACTTAGGGTGGCTGAAGAAGGTTAAGACCTCTCTGCGGTGAAATTTGATCAAAAACCAGAATACCGTGAGGGAACAATCTTTGTAAGGAGCGGGTGGCCCGGGAGGCCARTGAGTCCAGGCAGGAGAACAGCAATAGCAAAGGCCTTTAGCCTGGAAAATAAAGGGTGTCTCGAGCAGCACCAAGGGCTGGGGAGAGCGAGCGACTGACCCGCGCCATTGGCCACGTGCCCGGACTGCTGGGGCTTGTTTGCCATGCAGAGAACTAGTATGAGCAGAGAAGCCCCTAGAGGTCGGGAAGGACAGTGACCTCGGGTTACCGTCTGGTCCCTCACTCCCGCCTAAAGCTACAGGTGGAATGGACTGTGGAGGAGCGAGAACAGAAGCGTGGAGGCTCGCTCAGGGCATCCAGGCAAGGAGTGTGAGGACGCGGGAGGAACCCCAGACGACCGCYTTCCCGCACAGGTTTGTGTTTCCACCAAGACAAAGTCAGGAAAAAAAGTCCTGGAGGCATAGGGCGGGTTCGTTTACCCTGAGCTGCAAGGCGCTTCGCCCGCGGACGCGCTGCAGTCTCCGTCCCACTCCCTCCGGCGCGCGGAGACGCCCGAGCCGCGCCGCCGCCGGAAGTGCTTTTCTGACCCGCCGCGCCGCGCCGCGCCGCTGGAAGATGGCGCTGGAAGCCAGCGACATGGAAGACGGGCAGCTCTCCGACTCGGATTCCGACATGACGGTCGCAGCCAGCGATAGGCCTCTCCAAGTGCCGGTGAGTGCAAATCCGGGCGGCCCAAGAATCCGGGCGCGCGGAGCCCCAGCTGCAAGCTTGGCGCGGGCGGCGGGGAGAGGAGGGAGCGCGACGGCCTCCCGGCGGGCGCGCAGAACCAGGGCTTCGTAGTGGGCGCCGGGCAGCTGGGGGCTGTGGGGTGGTTTGGGTCGGGGACGCTGGCAGCGGCCGCGGGGCGTGTGAACACCAGCCGGCAGCGCGCRGCGAAGCGGGGCCCGAGAGCCGTGTGGCCTCCGAGAAGGGCGTGCAGCGGCTCCGGCCTCTCTTCTCAGCCTTCTGAGCTCTGCTATTTTTCTAAACTTAACCGGCTTCCCCACCCCAGAGCTGTTAGGTTGGTTGGTTTGGAACCTGGGGACAAAGACCCAGCGTTACCTTTGGTGTTTCTTATTGTCCACGGCAGATTGGGAAACTGAGCTCCAAGAAAGAAGCTCATTGCACGACCAGGGGGCCTGGTCTTAAGTCTTCCCACCGAGCCTAGCTTTGTCCTACAGTACCGTGACACCAGGTTTTGTCTCTTCTAGTGGGAATTTGTTGTGAATCCCCCTCTCTTTGAGAGGTCTTTGGTGCCAACCTGCCAGCGTTCAAATCCCAGCCGCTCCACTGTCTAACCCTTGGGTTATTTAGCTTCACTATTTAGGTGCCGTTATCAGTAGAGTTGTGAAGATTGGATGAAGCATACTGCACACAGTCATGCTCCAGGAGTGTTAGCTTCTGTTATTATTGGAAAGTAGAAAGGCTATCCTCTTACTCACTTAATCACCTCCACCCCCATTTCTAGCATTTAGTAGTTGAACAAATACTTAATCGAKTTAGTGTTTAGAACAAAAAGCAAAAGTCAAACACAAAGAGTTGGGAGAAATAAGTTCAAATGTTGTTTAGCACAGTAGGGTGACTATAGTTAATGTATATTTCAAAAAAGCTACAAGCAGCCAAGTGCAGCGTTGCATGCCTTAATACCAGCTACTCAGGAGGCTACAAGAAGGATCAAAAATTCAAGGCCGGCCATCTCTAAATTTAAAAAGGCTAGGATGTAGTTCAGTGGTRGAGTCCTTGCCTAGCATGTGCAAGATCCTAGGTTCAATCCCCAGTAAAGGGTGGGGGAGAATAACTAGGAGAGGATTTTGAATATTTGACCACAAAGAAATGATCAATATTTGAGTTGAATATGCTAATTACTCTAATCTGAGTATATCCAGAGTATGGGTGTGTCTAAACATCATATTAAACCCCATAAGATTGTACAGTTATTATTCTAAAATGAAAAAGTGACTTATTTTGCATCTAAATGTCTTACAAAATTGAAACCAGGATTATTTTATTTTTCAATCTCTTTCAAGTTGTATTATATAAATTGGCCTGTGACTTGGTTAACTTAATGCCATGAAATCTGCGGTTTTGAAAGTATTGGTTAGAATTTTTCCTCTTAGGAGTTCACCATCTACTCTAAAAGGAGTACAGTCACAGAACCATCCATATAAGGGAAGTTGTGTCCAAATTTAAGATAGGTATCTTTGGAAATAGATAACAAATCCTGCCAGTAACAATTACTGTGTATATCATTTTCACACATTCTGGTCATAACTGAAAAGATTGAAATCTTTTAAAGGTGAGAATTGAAAGCTTTGGTAAATTTCTAGGAGACCTTTTAAAACAAAATGATGCTTTAGCTGTGGAAATTAAATTTGTGGCTTTAAAATTAGCAGATTTCCTGGGGCACAGTGGTGCACATGAGGCTGAGACAGGAGGATCTCATTCAAAGCCAGCCTCAGCAAAAGTGAGGCGCTAAGCAATTGAGACCCTGTCTCCAAATAAAATACAAAATAGTGCTGGGGATGTGGCTCAGTGGTCATGTGCCTCTGAGTTCAATCCTTGGTTAACCTGCCATCCCCCATCCCCTCATCAGCAATTTCATGTGGAATTTTGGAAAAGTGGGGACAGGATTGATTTCAGAAATGTCTTTGGAGATGAGTTTTGTTTCAGAATACTTCAGATGAATCTAAATGAGTTTTTAAAAATAACTCATGGTGGGTAGAGTTGCTATGTTTTATGGAATTGACTCTATTTTCTCTCACTTGCAGAAAGTGCTAGATGGGGACAGTGCTGTAAGGTCCTTCCAGAGCACTGCAACAGCCTGTGTACCAGTGTCACATTATCGGACTGTTAAAAGTGTGGATTCAAGTGAAGAGAGTTTTTCTGATTCAGATGATGATAGCTCTCTTTGGAAACGCAAGCGTCAGAAGTGTGTTAATCCTCCTTCCAAATCGGAGCCTTTTCAATTTGACCAGAACAGTGAGAAACCTCCTGTTGGTGGGGCAAAGAAAGTTAACAACATATGGGGTGCCGTACTACAGGAACAGAATCAAGATGCAGTGGCCACTGAACTTGGTATCTTGGGAATGGAGGGCACTATTGACAAAAGCAGACAATCTGAAACCTATAATTATTTACTTGCTAAGAAACTTAAAAGGGAATCTCAAGAATGTACAAAAGAACTAGATAAAGAACTAGATGAATATATGCACAGCAGCAAAAATATGGGGTCAAGGGAAGAGGAAAATGGGCAAGGTCATCTGAAAAGGAAACGGCCTGTCAAAGACAGAGTAGGGTACAGACTAGAAATGAACTATAAAGGCCGATATGAGATCACAGAAGAAGATTCTCAAGAGAAAGTGGCTGATGAAATTTCTTTCAGGTAAGCATTTAAATTTGACCTATAAATGAACATTTGACCAGATATCTTCTGTTTACAGGACATAAATGTGAAATACTTTAATAATGATGTTCCTTTTTGAGACTTTTTTTTTATTTATGGAATTAACTAGGCTTATTTGATTGTCTGAATACATTTGTTTTCTTAAATTTGGACAGGCCTGGTAGGATAATTTGTATATACTTTCATGAACTTTTATTTAGTGCTGTATAGCTCTTTAAATAAAAYATTTTTGGGCTGGGGATGTAATGAAGTGGTGGAGTACCTGCCTAGCATGCACGAAGCCCATTTATTTATTATTTTTATGTGGTACTAAGGATCGAACCCAGAGCCTCACACATGCCAGGCAAGCGCTCTACCACYGAGCCACAACCCCAGCCCACCACAAAACATTTTTTAAACTCATGTATTAAGTGCTCATTTGTGATTCTTTTTTATTGAGATATATTTTACATTTGATAATATTCACTCATTTTCAAGTGTTGGAGTTTGGCAATACTTGGGATTGAACCCAAGAGTACTCCACAATTGAGCTATRTCCCCAGCCCTTTTTATTTTTTATTTTGAGACAAGGTCCTACTAAGTTRCCAGTGCTTGTCTCAGCAATGCAATCCTCCTGCCTCAGCCTCCCCAAGTTGCTGGGATTATAGGTGTGTGCTTAATGCCATGAAATAAAGATAAACCTAAAAGTTGGTTTTCCTACTTTTAAAACCTTTCCATAACCCAGTAAGATCCTTCATATTTGTACGTCCATTTACAATTAATCATTGCTCATTCCCAGACAACTACTAATCTATTTTCTGTTTTTACAGATGTGCCTTTTCTGGACAAATGGAATCATATATGTGTTCTTATGATTGGTTTCTTTCACTTAGTGAAGTGTTTTTGAGAATGATACATGTTATACAGGAATCAGTACTTAATTCCCTTTTAGATCTGTATATGTCCATGTCCGATAGATATGAATATTTCACTTTTGGCTATCATTAAATACATTTTCATTTCTTTTAGGTAAATACCTAGGAGTAGAATTACTTAGTGGGTGGTAAATTTATAAGTCATGTGTTTTTCACAAGCTTTGTGTTTTGTTTTTAATTGATTGATTGAACCCAGGGCCTTACACATGCTAGACAATCACTGTACCATTGAGCTACATAACCCAGCCCATTTTTTMATCTTTTATTTTGAGACAGGGTTTCACTAAATTGCCCAAGCTGGCCTCAAATTTGTAATCTTCCTGCCTCAACTTCCTGAGAAGCTGGGATCATAGATGTGTGCCATCATGCCTGGCTTGATCCTATCCAGTTTAAAGCTCCCAGATATCTCTGGAATTAGGAAAACCAACTTTTAGGTTTATCTTTTTTGCACTCAGGCTTATATTCACCTTGCTGCATGTGCATATATGTATTTTGAAATCTGCCATAATCCAGTAAAGCAAATAAAAATGTCAAGTATAAGACTTGATATGGAACCCTGAAGTTACTGTCTCTTTGCATGACCCCAAATTAGGATGTTTCCATGTCAGTGACTCAGTTAATTATTGAATATTTAGAAAAGCAAATGTTATTAGAATAGGGATTTGATTCTAGTTAAGGGCTTCTGGTGATTAAAGTAGATTTCATCAACAACAAATAAAAGGTTAAATTTACTTTGTTTCTTTTCAGGTTACAAGAACCAAAGAAAGATCTGATAGCCCGAGTAGTGAGAATAATTGGGAACAAAAAGGCAATTGAACTTCTAATGGAAACTGCGGAAGTCGAACAAAATGGTGGCCTTTTTATAATGGTAAGACTGATTCACAGTTTGTATTTTAGAATTGTTTGTCATGGTTTTTTCACCCTAGAAAGTGAACTTACCTCTTTTGGACCTCTTACTTACCATACATTATTGCAATGTGTTTCAGACAAAATTAACAATGAGAACTGAATATAAAAGTTTGGCACCCTCTTGTTTTCAATTAATACTTTCCTTACAAAAAAACATAAATTGTAGTCTGTTATTAGGAAGTTGACAACATATCCCTATATGATTCATTAAAGGTAGCACCTAAAATTTTAAGACAGGAGTCTGGTAGGAGTCTAGAAGTGCGAATTTTGAGAACATAGATCTTGAAATACAATTTTCCAACTGCAATTTGGTTTAATTATACGACTGCTTAGWGTCTCGGTTCCCTTAGGTATAAAATGAAGATTAACCTGTGTCAAGATGTGATAGTAGAGATGTCTGTGGAGAAGGGTCCAAGCAGGGTTYTTGGCWTATGTGACAGAAAAGAATTTCAGCACAAACCAGACAGAGGCATAAACAGAGGTTTATTTAGGAAGTCGATATACATTCAAGGGAGAATAAGGGCTGTATAAAGTGAGAAATAGCCCTGACTTGGGTTGGGGATCCAGTATTTAAGGGCTATATCAGGGGCTGGACTGGAGGTGCATCCAGGGTGGGAGGGTGCACAATTTTGTGCCAGTTTTCCCTGCGCTTTCATATTTCCCTCATTTTACAGAGGCGTGATGGTCAAGATTTACAACTATGCTCTCTAACCCTTCAGTGGCTTGTGGGTGTTTCCTTTAAGATTCAATCTTTCTCTGTCTCTCTGTCTCTCTCTCTGTCTCTCTCTCTCTCTCTCTCTCTCTCTCTCTCTCTCTCTCTCTCTTCTAAATCCCCATCTCAGTAAGGATTTTACAGTGGCACTGGGGATTAAACCCAGGACCTCTCAAATTGCCATGTTAAGTGCTCTTGTCCTGAGCTACAACCCCAGCCCTGATTCATGCATTCTTAAATTCACTATTGTTATGTTATAAAGCCCAGACAGATTTACAATGATCCATTTATATTACAATATCATGGGKGGTGGAGACCAAAAGGAAAAAATCTGAAATAGCTCCTGGGGTAGGGGAGCAATAAAGAAAGTGGAGAAACACTGTTTACTGTTTCAGAATGATGAAAAGAGCACATCTGGCCAGGGCCTGATCACAGGCAGTGGCAGTTCTAGAATGGTTTTGCAGATCTCATTCAATTCAGTTTACACCACAAGGTGAAGATCTGAGCGTGAATGGTTTCCCTCTTGTTATTCCTGGTTTGTAATTTATTTTTATCCAGTTCTCACAGCACAAGAGAGTAGATCAATAGTATGCTATGGAAATGAAGAGAAAGAAACAAATTAGAGAGTTAGCAGCATTGGCTGAGGAAATAGCCTGTCAACATAAATTACAGAAGTTATTACAAAACAAATTTTAATAATCATGAATACACTGACATACCTGTTTATGTCACTATTAAGGTTCTTTGAGGGCTGGGGCTGTAGCTCAGTGGTAGAGCACTTGCCTTGCACGTGTGAGGCACTGGGTTCGATTGTTAGCACCACATAAAAATAAATAAATAAATAAATAAATAAATATTAAAAATAGGAAAGTTCCTTTCTTCTGCTGGACTGCATTTCTTGTTAAAAGGGACGGGGGTGTTCTTTTATGTAAAGATTGGGTATTTCAATATTGTAATAAAATTTTGTATTCCAGTGAACTAATGGCAAATGTACTAAATGTTAAGAAGGTACAAATTGAAATTCACTTCCTTTTGATACATTCTTTCTTTGAACAATTATTGATTGAGTGACTGCCATGTGCCAAGCCTATTCTAGAACAGGGAGCTTATATTGTAGTTGAGGATGAGAGGAAAATAGTCTATTAATGACAAATATATAATAACTTCAAATGAACCAGAATGTGATATATCCATGGAAAAAGAAATAGMTCAAATGGAAGTATAGGAAGTATCTATTAAACGCCAAAATTGATCAAATGGAGGTAATAGAAAGTCACTATTAAACAGGAGTGGTTAGGTTAGAAATTTGAACAAAGACTTGAAGAATGTGAAACAGTACTACAAAAAGAACAGGCCAGGTAGACGWAACAGCCATGTTAGAAGTGAAAGCTACTTAGCAGACTAGAAATAGGGTAAAGTAAGCTATTGCTTGCTTTGGGTACAAAATTTGATGGAGTGCCAAAAAACTCAGTAATCAAGACAAAYGATATTTTAATGCAATATTATCAAAAATTAATATACAGAATTTTAAGTGAAGATAGTCTTCAACTTTGTCCTTGGAAGATTCAGTTGTCTCTCTTCACCCTAATCTCTTCCTGGTACCTGGTTTG